CACAACCCTGATGAATGCTCGATGCAGAAACCCCGTGTTTGCTGGTGATAGAAACCTACAACACACACTCCAACTCTCCAAGAGCCAAGTCAAATCTCATACTGAAAAACTATAACAAGAAATACCGACTCGCACCCGAGTAAAAAAGAACAAGATCAGGAAAGAAGTTCACTAAGAAGGTACCTAGCAGAATCATAAATATAAGCATACCATAAATAATTGACAGAATAATAAATGAAACATACTAGTAACGGCGTCCGACACCGCCCTGGCCTCCTCCGTTGTGAGCTGGAAAGCACGATCCTGAGTCCTCTGCGGTTCCACCCCACCCTGGCGTCCATCCATGATCCTCAAAGTAGCCGGTGCTGGAGCCTACACCGGTCTCGCAGCGATCAAGGGACAACTGGCCTTCATATGACCAACCTGCTCATAGTGGTAACAAATCCTGGTGCTCACTGGCGGGGCCTGCTGACGACAGTCCCTGATAATGTGCCCATCCCTACCAAATTTGTGGCATCCATAAGAAGATCAACAAGCACCCTCATGAACCTTGCCGCACTTTCTACAAGTGCGAACCCTATGTCCCTAGAACATGAATCAGTGGGCTTGAACCGCTTTGCTGCCAGCTATGACTGAACGGAAGCCTGCCGCTACTCCCTCATCTGAAGCTCCATCTTGATCTCTCACCTCCTCGTGGCATCCTGAAGATCGGTGAGGGTACCATAATGTTGGGTGGACACGAACTTCCGGATATCGGTCTTGAGCATACTCAAGTACCACGTCATCTGAGCCTAATTTGAAGCAGCAAACTCATGATAGAATAAAGCCCTCTCCATAAACATCTTGGTAATCTATGTCAACATCTCAGTTATCTGTCTCAAATACATGTACTCCTGAGCTAATATCTCCCTGTCCACCAAGGGAACGTATCTCAAACGGAACATCTCTGAGAACAGCTCCTAAGTAATAGCAGCCCTCTACTCAGGAGTGTATGAACTAGTCACCAATCTCCACTAATCCTTCGCCCCTAACTGGAGAAGGTTCAGGGTGCACTTAACCTTCTGGTCATCCAGGAAAGAACAATTAAATAAACAACCCTCCACATCATACAACCACCTTATCGCCATAATCGGGTCCTTGACCCCATCAAACTGTAGGGGGTTCGTGTTGTCGAAGTCCCGATACTGAAATGATCTCTCCCCCTGAATCCATATAATAGCAACAACCGCGGTAGCTGCAACAACAACAGTGTCAATGAGTGCAATGTAGCGGTCATCAAAAAGCTCAATCATAGCGGTCTTGATAGAACCAAACAACTCCGGAATAGAGCTCCGAACAGTAGTAGCTACCTCTGTAGCGATCAACTCACAAATGTCATCATCAGTCAATCTCGACCTATCCTAGCCACCAGCTCTTGAACCAGAACCTCTCATAATCACCATATTGAAAAATAAACCAAGATATACATCAGAAAGGCCACAACCATACTGCCATAACCATCATGACAAGACTAACCCTCGGGTTTTGTAGCTTCCTTGTTACGCGTACGGGTCCTGTATACCAAGATATAGATCTAACATATCTCTACAACATAACAACATCCTATATGCAATGATACGGATCTAATAGATCACTACTGCACAACAACATCCTATATACTAGGATACATATCTAACATATCACTATAGCATAACAACATCCTGTATACTAGCATATAACCTAGTGGGCTGGCATTGGTGCCTTCGACCCACAGGTACAGTGAGAAAAACTCACCTCTCAGTCTTAAAAGATAGCTGAACAGGACACTGCTCCGAATATCAGTTCTACCGGTCACCTATACATGAAAAATGACCAAACTCAACAACAATTTAAAATACCCAAAATGCGCCTAGGTCAAACTTGGTCAAAATCTGGTCAAAGTCAAAGAAGTCAACTGAGTCAACTCAGCTGAGTACGCCTAGCATACTCAGCTTGTATGCACGGCGTACTAGTGTGTTGACCAAAAACAGGCTGTTGACCTGGTACGCTCATTGTACCATAACGTACGCCCAACGTACCAATGTACGTACCTACCACATTTTCTTCTATTAAGGGATTAATCCCTTAAGTCCTTTTGTCCAAAATCCAGATCTAGTCCTCAAATGAAGTCCTTAATCATAAAGTTTCCAACTTTATGATCTTGCATGGCTATTAAGTGCTCAATACCAAAAACCCTAACTTCTCAACTCATTAAGACAACATAGTCCATGCATGGAATGAAACAAAGGTCCAAGATTACATTTTAATGACTCTAAACACTCCAAAACGTCTGAAAGTTTAGCTCATATGATTTAGTAACCCATACTCATATTACCAAGCTTATGGGACCAAAATGAACCCAAATCCATGGCTAACAAGATCTAATGGAAAACTTCATCAAGATCAGATCTTTTTACCTCCGAGTGGTGCAAAATGATGATGTGCTTTTGGATCCAAAGTGCTCAAAGCTTCCATGATTCTTTCCTTTCCTTCTCCTTCCTCTAAGAACACCAAAAACCACACACTAATGGCTCAAAGATGATCTCAAAATAGATTAGGGTTTGCAAGGGTCGAATATGAGGTTGGAGGCTGATGAATGAAGGGAGAGTTAAGGATGTATAAATAGTGCACAAACCCTAAATATTGGGTTTTTTGGTCCAAGCCACGTATGCCCAGCGTACGCAAGCAACCCACGTTTTCTCATTAAAGTGCCATGGGACCATTTTTGCAAACATTTCTCACACCAAGGGTTAAAAGTGTAAAATACCTGGAAATCAAGATGTTACACCTGGTCTTGACTTTCATGGAGTGACATTTCGATTCCAGAGGTTAATAAAGAAAAGGAGATAATATGGAGTGGTGTATGGTTGAATGAGGGGGAAGATGCAACACGGGAACATAATGGAATTGATGTAGAGGTATGGTATGGTGGAATGGAATTGATTGAATTGGATGGATGGTGTCCTAGATTCATAACAATCTGCAAAATGAAAATTAGTTAATAACTTATAAAAAAGGGAAAAATACAGAAAAATCGCTATATTTTAGGCAATGTTGTGGTTTAACTGTTTATACTTTATTTTTTTTCCAAACAAACTATAAAAGTTTCGGAGAGTTTTCCTATTTAACCATTTTGATTATATCATAGGGACATAAATTTCATATAATAGCATGCGATTCATTACTAGGAAACCAATACAGTGGTTCCTTTATAGAAAAAATATACTCTCAATGGTGTTTTTTGTTGAATTTGGTCGATCTTAATGCTAATTTCAAAATGGTTAATTTGGGAAAGTCTGGAACTTTAATGGTTTGATTGGAAAAAAAAAGATATAAGTGGTTAACTCGCAAAACCCCCCAAAATATAATGTTTTTTTATTTGTTTTATTTTATTTTATAATTTTCCTTAAATAAACAAAACTATATAAAAAGAAGGAATCCAAAATAGCATATAATATAACTTAAAGATCACAAATTCCACTTTTCTTATTCAACAACTTTGCAACAGGGCAATATGCACCCAAAGGTGCATATTTGTGGTTCAAAAAGTTAGTGATTAATATAAAAACAATTCAAACCATATCCACTAAAACAAATCACATACCCAAACAATTAAAATACCTTATCTTTGTGAATTGTCTTTCTTGAAAGAAGGCTTTGAATTGTCTCTATCTTATAAATTGTTGGTGAACCCCTTCAAGGGGTAAATACTCAACGTTGCTTAAAACTGTAAAAATACATTCTAATGAATAAAGGAATTGTCAATTTTCCTAGTATCAGATGAAATTAGGGTGGAAGTTTGACTATCAATCATACAGAAAGTAAACATATTTGAAATAAGAATCAAGAGAGGCTATCATCTCTTTGGCAGTTTTAATGAATCAGAACAAATGACTGCCAAACATGATGTTACCCAAGACATGAATGAGTAGAAGTTGACGTCACCGTTAGAAAATAAAGGGAATGTGTAGAAGGTGATGTCACTCTTAGAAAATAAAGGGATCAAAATAACAATAAATATAGATTTTGATAGATAAAAATACCGTGTTTATCAAACACTTTCCGAAATGTATAATTCGTCCCTTTTTCCTGAGGTACACGAATTCAGAAGTGGGATAATCCAAGAATGAACCAATCTGAATTACTGACCTAATTCAGATTTTGAAACACATAATACCTGTTAATGTGATCTTGAGAGATAGAACAAATCTTAAAATCAGATTTTGAGAGTATATGGTTTGTAACCCGTTTTTTGGAGCATAAAGAATGTTCTTATACTAGAGGGAAAAGTGGTTACGGCGGTTGCCTCCAAATTTGTCGCAAAACCTAGTAGTTATTAGACATAACTAAAGCTTGCATCATCAAGTGAGTTTTGGCGGTAAAATGCATGGCTGGAGTCATACCAGATATAAAAATCCGTTTAGGTTTTGGGGCGCTGCCTCGAGCTCCGCCAGGGGATCTGCCCCTTGGACCCGGCTAGGGGCACTGCCCCTAAACGCCCCCGAGGGGCTGTAGCCCCTTGGAATCCTAAAATCACCAACAGTCACCGCCCAGTCACCGGAAAGAAGAAGTTGACGTCACCGCCAAGGACGGCCTCCGTGAAGAAGTCAATTTCACCGCCTAAGAAGGTTTCGACGGCAGCAAAGCTGCGGAGGTCTTTTCGTTGAGATTGGCGAGTAGATTGGTTTCACCATTGAAGAGTAGGAAATCATAGAAGAGCGTAGATAGTAGCAAGATGATGATGAACATGATGATTGGACTGAAACGGAGGCCACTGTCGACAACCACACCGATGCATTTGTTAGTTCGGAGAATTTAGGATTTCATTCTTTTATATGATATTTACTTAATGTCAAAATGATTTCTGTTTGGTGTTTCACATTTTTATAATCATAAAATAATTGATCCGATAATTTCTTGATTCTTATTGATTCAGGAATCAGTCACAAATTACAAAAATCGTTTATACAAACAATCGAAATGTCATCTCATTCGTTTGAAGATCAACATACAAGAAAATATGCACTCAACTAAACAAATTATATATGCAGCATCAAAGCGACATCATTCTCTCAAGTGTTTCTAATGGATCTTCTTCCACCAAATCAATCTCCACATTGCTATACTCCCGCCATTTACAAGCTACTTCTTCATTACATACCACACGTACATGAGACAGCTCCTCCACAGATTCTGGTAGCTCATGTACTCCGCTGCAACCTTTCATATAAATCTTCCTTAAACAACCCAATTTCCCCATTTTTTTCGGCAACCCACTCAAGTTCAAACAATCTGAAATATCAAGAACACTCAAGTTTTTAAGTCTCCATATCGATTCAGGCAATTTCTTCAATTTCATACAAGAACGAAGACTAAGCATTTCCAAATTAATCAAATCCCCAAATTCTTCAGAAAACCCACACAAATCATTACAGTTTGTGATGCTATTCTTCTTGAGATGGTCACTGTTACATAATGTCCCCGGGAATTCGACCAAGTCTTGGCAGTAATCGATCTCGATTTCAACTAACTGTGGCCAGATATTTGGGGTTTTGGTAATGAGGTTCTTGAAAGTGTTGCCAATTTTGCACATTATTAAGGATACTTTTTGCAGGCTTATGAGTGATAAAATGGATGGACTTATGTCAACACGTTCGAGTCGGATCCTTGTTAGATTGCGTGAAGAGGTAAGAAAATGGAAATTGTTGAATTCTGTAAGGTATAAACCGTGGTTTGTGATGTTTAGACTCTTTAATTTTGGATTTGCCGCTAAGAAATGGGGTAAAGTGTAGGTTTTCGACATCAAGTTTAAGATTAGAACTTCGAGGTTGGGGATTTCCATGTTGCACCATTTTGAGGAGAACGATTCTTCTGCAATCAAGATTGTATACAAATACAATTAATAGAAAACGTGATAAACTGTAAAATCATTTCAACCCTTTTGTCCTAAACAGATTAAACTTTTCACTTGTCATATTGTAGATTAATATTATTTTGGTAGGGTATAAATACAACAAAATAAGAATGTACTTTCATTTCAACATCCTACTTTCATTTCTCTTATTACAACATTGTACTTAGAAAAATCTACCAACTTATAGCAATCGCAGTCATATAAAAACAATTTTAATTCCTATAATAGAGTAAAATTTCAAAGTATATAAAAAGAAATGAAAGGGGGATGATATAATAAACAAAAAACAATATGTTGCTATTTTTTATATTTTAGTCCAAAACATAGTCTGACTTTAAGATCTTGTGAGATGTAAATCAAATACATAGCAGCCCCCTAGGTGGCTAACATATAATCCACTACTCTCAAAGAGCCAAATTCACATTGGAACTGAAACTCCAACACTACAACTGCTAAGGCTCGAACCCTCACATGCTTCTACAAAGATATATGCGCTTTAATTTATAAAGGAATCAAAACCTGTGGAAATGGACAATATGCGGGCTTGCATGGATTCTTGAACTTGTTCGATTGGTGTAGGAAATTCATCTCCTCGTACATTTTATAATCAATCTTGTCCTTTTTGCTAAGGGTAATTTGCTATTGAGGTGAATAGCAAGCTCCCTCAGCAAATCATGTTGTGTCACTAATTGCTGGTCGCAATAGTTAACTCTTGCACTAGAATCATTCCTAAAACTAAACAATTCAAGCTTTAGTTTGCAACAAATTATATAAGCAAACATTGAAATCTCTTATGTTTAACAATTGTTGTACACTCTTCAATTCAAAACTTTTAGTAACATACCAAGGTGTTGTTTCTTTTTGACTTAATGCAGAAACAACGACTTAACAGATAAAAGAGGAAAATGAGACTTTACCTGTTAAGTCATAACTATTTAAAAATTTATGTATATTGATTTTCTTCTTTGACTTAATGCATAAAGAATGCCTTTGAAGAGCGAGTGAGAAAAATGAGGCTTTCCTGTTAAGTCAATTTCTTTTATTACAAATTTGCTATATGCACCCATACCGGCGTTTCCTTTTTGACTTGATGCAACAAGAACAACTTAAAAGAGAAACTCGTAAAAATGAGGCTTTTCTAGCTTACGCCCTAACTTTTTACAAACTTGCTACGAATGAGTTTTTCTTTATGATTTAGTGCAGAAAGAACGGACTCAATAGAGAAGTCGGAAAAATAAGGCTTTCCTACTTCAAGTCTTAACTTTTTACCAGTTTGAGTTAGTGTTCCTTATTTCCTCAAATATCTTTTAAACAACACTTTATGGGAGGAGAAAAAAAAACAGGGTGCAAGTGAAATACCCTGTGGTCATAAGATCGACAAGATTTCTGTAGGAAAGTTCAAAGATAGTGGCCATGGTATCAACACCTTCGTCATCATGGTCATACAAATGCACCCACATATTCAACAGGACGCTAACGGGGATCCTCTGATCTTCCGGGAATAGCCCAAAGTCCAGGAAACATTGCTTTAATTCCTCATCGAGGGACTCAAAACTTCTTTCTAAACCGATAAATACATCCTCATGTAGATCTAGTACTGACCTACCCCGTGACAACTTTTTTAGCATAGATTTCCAAACTAACTCATCCTTCCCATTTAAAGATCGGCCGACCACAGAAAGGGTAAGTGGATGTTTCTTACACCATGGTACCATCTACATATATCAACCATATTTTCTTTGATTACGTATAGAATGATGATCTAAAAGAAGACTATCATATAGTTAGTTACCTGATTTACAAGATCATCATTAATAGTTGGACTAGGTCTACTTCCGCTTTCAGTGAATGCTGAACTGCGAAAGAGACTTTTGGCATCTTCATCGTTCAAAGGTTCAAATCGGAATGTCTTGTACTTCTGAAAGGCAGTCCTAGATGTGACAAGAATTTTGTGTCCTCTAATGTTGGATGGAAAGATTTGTTCAATAAATGAATCAGACCACACATCGTCCAATATTAGAAGCATAGGATCTGACGCTTTCTCATTCAAAAAATTCTCGAGTTTGTTCTTTGCGTCTCCCTTACTTTGAAACAGAAGTCGCGGATCGGAGGGATTTGGGTTAAAGAGATCGCTGACAATCATCATCAAGTTGGGTGTTTCTGAAACTGTCACAAAGAAGATATTTTCCCCGAATTTTTCTGTTCAAAAGTATGATACATTAGAGACCAAATATACCCGAAATCAAAATCAAGCAAGCACAACTATCTAATACCTTTTCCATCCTAAAAATTAGTGACCAAATACACCCGAAATTAATGGATTACCTCGAATTTCAGCATCATGGCATAGCATTTTCGCCAAAGTAGTCTTCCCACATCCACCAGGAGCGGCCACAACCAGCACCGGATGATCATCACCAACCGCTGCCTTCAGCTTCTCCAGCGGCTCACCAAACGCCACGATCAAACTTGGAAGTATGGGAACACGCCAACCAAACTTTTCTCGTTCTGTGCTTTCAGACCCACGATGATTACCAACCGAACCTGTTCTCTGTGTCGTATCTCTCTGTTCCTCAAAAATACGATCCACTTTTAATTTCATATCGTTGACCACTGAAAGAATATGCATAATGTCCCGACTCTGGGATGCTTGAACTTCGATTTGAAAGAAACTTAACATCTTACTGTTGAGGACTTTTAGCTTCAGTGAGTAAGTGAACTTCTTGATGATATTCCTCTTTACTTTCGAACATTCGGCGACAAGTTTTTCGGCTTCTTGGATTTCTTCTATGAACATCTTGCACTCTAGCTCTGTACGATCTAATTTCCGTTTCATATTCACTATTTCGTCAATGATCGGTTTGATTCTCTGCAAGGTCAAACCGAGTAGCTCCAGTTCGGGCTTGAAATTGGCTGTGGTTTGTACTACAGATATTACCAGTGTAGTTAGTGTGGAGATGGATTCGGAAAGAAGGGGATCTAGAAGCATAGCCATTTCTTGTTGATTAATCTGAAATCAGAATACAAAATGGACACGAAAATTTGATGATATGAAGGTGCTTGAGAGAAAAACAGAGCTTGACTATTGGAACGCGTCTTCTGAATACGAAGGATGGACAAACCAACGAATGGTGCTCTATTTTATTGATTTTTAGAGTAAATTATGAATCTGGTCCCTGTACTCTTACCAATTTTGTAGGTTTGGTCCAAGTTTGATTTTGATTCGAAATTATTACAGTAATTTTATTTTGTTGCTGTTTTTTTTTCTTTAGTTATATTATTATATTAAATAGGCCTCACCATCCCACCCATTTCCGCACACGCACCCCTCCCCTCACCACCACCACTACTATTGCCGGCAAGGTTCTAAATAACGTAAGGCGTGACTTGGCGACAATGTCAAGCCTCAAGCTTTTCCGAGCCTTGGCGAGTCATGACGTTTGTAAGGCGTGACTTAAGACGGCAATTTTCTATATAATTAATATTTTTTATATGTATTTTCAACTATTATTCATTTTATACACATATATGAGTTAAGGCGGCGTTTTGGCAAAGCTTGGCGGCAGGTGCAAGCCTTGGAGCTGTGGCTCGCATGGCTAGCTTTTTAGAACCTTGATTGCCGGTGATGGCTATCATAGAAACATGCCTAAATTACATAGATGCTCCTTATGGTTTATAAAAGTTCACAAGTTCAAAACCTAATTATATTTTTCTATCATGAATGGTCTTGATGATTTTCATTTCTAATATGGTTGGTTCCTAAAGTTTTATTTTATTTCATATTTGATCTAAAATTACGAATTTACCCCCAAGTCATTTTTTATTAAATTTTTTATTTATATTAATATTTTTGAAGGTCTCGCCAAATTCACTCCACCCGTCTCCCACCTTGACGACTTAATCCCACTGTGTTGGCCCTTTGTTCTTGTCGGTAATAAAAATCATTGGTTACCTACCTACCTTTTGTTCTTTCCGGTGTCCAGCTATCATCATCAAAATAAAATAACTTTGTCCTTCACACACCACCTTCTTCTTCTTCTTGTAGAAGTGTCCCTCATGAACCACCTAGATCAGTTCAACATCCAAATCGATGAGGCTATGAAGCCTTAGATCAACACCCTTTCCATCGGCCACCCTAACTTCTTAAAAGATAGTGGCCTCCAGTAATGTGTCTTTCACAATGTTTCTATTTGGGAACAACATCTCGAGATGAAACTTTACACTCATGGGCTAAACGAGTTTTAAAAAAACACTTTAACAAGCTTAAAGTGTCCATAATGTTTTAATAATATGAAATTTGGACTCAAAAGTTAAGTTCACACATAACTTGTTAAGTTTTACAAGGAAATTTCAACAAATACATAAAGCATAGGAATTAGTGTTGTTATTACATGTCTAACAGTCTTCTAAAATATCCAAGCTTCTCTACCTTCCATCTTCCACACAAGACCTAATTTGGATACATGTTAAAAATATATACGTTAGGCTTCGAAAGCATAGTGAGTATTCTCGAGGTCAGCTCTTCAAGGGCATTAGATGAGAATGGTCATCCAGTTCCAAAGTCAAACCTCTAAAATAAGTTATAAAACTTTTGAAAGATATATCGAGTTCAATAAATCGGGGAAAGCATTTCAAATCATTTTGATGCTAAAATATTACCAAATCAATAATTAGAATGCATTGCATATGCTTTTATTCCCAAAACCCTAATTCAATCTCAAAGTCCAAACTCACAAACTAATGGTTCTGGAGAATGTGTAAAGTAGCTACTATTGGGTTTTGCCCTAAGGTTGAGGTACCAATCGATCAAGCGAAACGATGAACCTCAACTGCTAATAGAAACATTCTCCTAACAACCAAAACAAGATCACATACGTTAAATGAAGTTGAACAGATCCCACCAATGCGTCATTACACCAATAGAACTTCTAATTTCATAGATGAATTCCAAAATTACCCAGAAATGTTGCCAACACCCTAGTTGAATTAATCCTAATACCAACCCAGCCGACGCGACATGCCAAAACTCGACCTTGCGTAGGCCATGATCACACCTGAAAAACTGAACAATGTCGCTTTGACATCCGAACTCCTAATAACCAAGGATAGCTGCCAACTAAAGCCCACTAGAAACAACAATTCCAAAACCAAATAATCAACATCACACATACATAGAGACCAAGGTATACACTTGACAGAACTTGATGAATGGTTGATGCATCAATTGCACTTTCAGTTAATACAACTTAAAGCCTTTGAATAAAATTAGATGTTGATGATGAAAAAATAACAAAAGATTAAAAATGTATCAAAAACTAAACCCAATGATCTCGTATAGTGCTGAATGAATCCCATGCGAAAATATACGAATCAAACTCTGATGTCGATCGACATATCAACAACTGTCCATTCTTGACTATAAATAACCGACCCATACCGCAAACTAACCGTGCCCTCTATATCTGAGGCACAATCTGGACATCTAAAACATGCCCTACCCCCTCCCCCACCCCCAAAAAAAGATCCTTGGCGCTTCCAAAAGTAATTACTGCCCACATCGATTTCTTTGTCCTACATCTTTCTGATGTGAAGACATCACATGTGTCCCTAAAGACATAAACATGATGGCGTAGTACTCCAATCTCATGATCTAGCCAATCCTTGAATTTCCCTTTACCATGAGCGACTCTGCCAGATCCTTAAAAAACGCAACAACAAAAACCTCCAACCACGTGCACTTTGATGGTAGCCTACTGTCATTCTCTTATTCAACAGTAAGCCTGAAACCAAAGTTTAGTATACCTGAACCGCATATTCCTTTGACCTAATGTACTGAAACCATAAAATCGAATAGACCGATGATCCTCCAAGTAGAATATCCAATTTCCCCCCACTTAGGGTTCAAACCATAACCAACTGATGTCTATATCATCAAAGCCTCAGATCGGCTCAACCATATACATATCAACCTTAAATATCAGATTGCATAACACAACATAAGATGATTCTTCGAATAATAACCAACAAATCATAAGGAAATTATGAATCTCAGATGGAGACCTCAGAGACTTTCCCCCAACTTTAGAGCTTTGAACTCAGCCAAGACAATCAACATACCACTTGTTTGATGAGGCACCTTGAGAACTAAACTCCGCTCCAGCAAAAGTTACAGATGCTCCAGTAATAGCTCTGACAAACCCATCATAACAATATAACTCACCTTTTCGAGTCAAGAACATCTTAATGCCTCCTTGAATACACCCGATCTTCTCAAAACTGTGTCACATATCCAACTTGCGATATGCTCTTCACCTCCGCCACCTAACCAAAAGACCAGTCGAGTCTTGAACATTCCATTATTGTGAGACAGAAATGATTTACTGTGAACCAGACTTTACTCCCTTATGGAAGAAATCGATGCGGAGAACACCATTTTTTTTGTTTAATAATTAATTGACACACATCTAATCTCTTCTACCTCAAGCATGGGAAGCTAGAAGAACATAACCCCATCATAGAAAATGACTTCCCAATCCATCGTCCGATCACCTAGTCTCAAACTATAGTCGGCAAGTCGATCATTACCATCACTTCCTACTTCAGTCTCGTGACTCAAACTGACACTACTTCAAACAAGGCCCTTTAGACCATAACATCAACTAACGCACACAGATCTACACTAATCAAACCTAATCTGTCATGGCCACTAAGGCCCAAATAATCCCATCATAGAAAACGACATCCTAATCCATCGGCCAATCACCTACTATCAGGCTATAGTCCTTAAGTTGATCATTACCATCTCTTCCTACTTGAGTCATGCGACTCAAACTGCCACTACTTCAAACAAGGCCCTTATGATTGAAACATCCCAAAAATACTAAACCAAAAATTTCATTTTAAATTAAACAAATATAAAACCATTTGTCTGGAGACCTCATAGTAATAATATATATCAAAAACAATGTATCCATAGTCAAAACATGTCATAACAAAATCATATCAGAGTATAAATCCCATAGATCTCTGGTGCGGAAAATGGGGTATGATGAAATGCGATCATGCCGACTCCTTTCCTTTCGAAGAAGAAGGACCTGAAACAAAACTGAAAACTGTAAGCACAAAGCTTAGTGAGTTCCACCATCATACCACATACCATACAATAAACATACTGTCTAACATATTCGGGTACTAGCTACCCCTTCGGTCTCTTTCAACCGGTAACTTGCCTAGCATATCAGGGTACTGGCCTACTCCTTCGGTCTCTTTCAACCGGTAACTGCCTAGCATATCAGGGTGTTGGCCTACCCCTTCGGTCCTGTCGACCGGTACCTCGCCTAGCATATCAGGGTGCTGGCCTACCCCTTCGGTCTTGTCGACCGGTACCGGGGACTATATCACCCCCTACTTCTACCACATAGCATCCTAGTGCATAAACATATAAGTCATATACTGCCTAACTTATCCGGGTGCTGGCATACCCTTCGGCCCTATCGACTGGTACTGGGGTCTATCCTACCCCTCCTACCACTATCACATAACATCATAGCATACTAGCACATAAAGCATAACAGATAGTGACATACCAAATAATTATCATAAACACAATCATCTATACTATAGCTCTTACTAGTGGGTTGGCATTGGTGCCTTCGACCCACTTCTACTGGAAGGTAACTCACCTCAATGTTGTGAAGTAGCTGAACTGTCCTCGGCTCTGGGATCAACTCTCCTCAAACCCCTACACATAAAATCTCTTTTAATTACTCTTTCATACTCGTAACCCCTTGAAGGGTCAACTCTGGTCAAAGGTCAAAGTCAAACTCAACATCTTGGTTAACTCAACTGCCCGAGTTGGTCCATCAACTCGCCGAGTTCCGCTTCATACAGGGTCGAGACATTTTACTCACAACTCGCCGAGTCCCTCCTTGAAATCGTCGAGTTCCTAAATCTTCATAACCCAAAACCATGGTCAACTCGCTGAGTCCTCTCCTAGACTCAACGGGTTTGCTCAGTAACCGAAAAGGTTGGGTGACCACGACCCAACTCGCTGAGTTGTATGAACAACTCGTCGATTCCCCCATAGTCTAAATCCATACAGTCGATTCTAGTTG